TTTCGGAAGAATTACAAAATAATGAAAAATAAAAGCATTAAATATCTACTGCTTAATACAACAATGTTTTAGTAGATAACTGAAATATTGCTTTTAAATTAACATTTTCCTCATCTGAAAATGCATTTCTGATAGACATCTCTTCACATAAAATAGCTATATCCCTCCCATGTGTGCCTTTAAGATTTGAGAGCCACTAGCCTTGAGTTAACTCCCACCTTAGATTCATGTGTTTAACATAAACTACTGTGCTTGTGCATGAGGACATCATTGTGTGACAATAGCCCTTTACCAATAGGAGGATGACACAACCTCCATGCACAGTAACTTCTCTTAAGCACTATTACTCGAAATAGCTTCACTGTTAGACAAGGCATGAAGAAAGTGCATCAGAAATGGGGAGGTGAGGTAAGAATGTGTGACAAGGTGAGTATCTATTGAAAACACATTTTCAGATTAGGAAAATGTTAACTTCCAAGACAATACCTCACCTCCACATACATAATAGCTAGAATCCTATGCTGAATTGAGGGGGGAGGGGCCAGTGCAAAATTAAACTACACCTTTATGAGCTCCCTTTAGAAAGTGCCCAAAGGAGGAACAGGCAAATAAGTGTTGCAGGGATGGGTGGAATAAGAACATGACCATCCAAGCCTTTGCATACAAGTTGTTGACAATTCAATAGGTGTAGTGCGGTAAAGGTGCAAATAAACCATACAAGGTGTACTCACATTGATTCAACTGGGCAGACTCAGGCTGCATAAGGATGGCACCAATAGCTGTTAAAGGGGTGACTACACTGATAGCATCACCACTTCCCTACTTCTCACTGTATTGTGCTAAACCCAATCAATGAGGAACTCTCCGTGGTTCACCACCCCAAAGTCTAGGAACTGGTAAGTGGCAAGGGTTTCCTGTGCTCCACTTGAAGAAGGGGAGGGAGAATTTGCATTGAAGAGACCTGGAGAAATGCCCTGATCCCCATCAGACACTTGCTGGAAAGTTCTTTTACTGGAGAAAGTGCAATGGGTGACTACAAAACCCTATTTTAAAAATAAAACAATTGTGAGCCAAAGGAGTGGGAAGTCCAAAGTTAGTTGATAAGGCTGCCCAATTACCAGTGATGGTGGAGACAGACAAGCCATGATTGAACAACTAAGTAAACAAAAGGCAAAAAGGTGTGCCATAGTAGGACAGTTGGAAGAAAAGGAGTTGTGGATGGACCATTGACAACAAATCCACCATTTCTATTGATAGATACACAAAGGACAACAGGAATAAGATAAGAAGGCTACAAGGTCAGATAGTCCAGTCCTATGGGCAATGAACTGGACAAGATGAATGAATGATACCACTAGAGGAAAAAATGATGTGTGAGGTTCAAGCAATAGAGAGGAGTCCAGACACCAATCAAAGAAGTAGAAGAAACCAGGACTGAGTTGGCTAAAGAGGCATCACCAACAGGACCCAACAAGAAGTGTTGTGTATAAAGCCAAAAACCCAAAGGAGTCAAAGAGGAGGATAGGCATATGGGAAGAGGTGAGACCAGTCCTAGCTGAAAATATCGACAGCCAGAGCCAAAGGAGGAAGAACTGGGGCCAAGAAGAGAGGAAACTTGAAGATGAGAGGAGAATTATGGGCATCCATTAAAGATGTGTCCAACCAAGAACAGAAACAGTTAAAAACCCAAGAGGTGAAGGGAGCACAACATGGGAAGAATGCAGTCAGGGCAAGAGAGGTGATCCAGCATCAGATTCAAAGCCCCCAGTACTTGACAAGTGACAAGGAGAACTCAATGGGAAAGAACCCAGAAGAGGAGGTCCAATGCCTGAAAGAAGTCTGGGAGCAGGTGCCCCCTCGAAGGATGATATAAGAAATAACAGTGAAATTGTCAGAGTGGATTATGACCAACTGATCCAGTAGAAAGGGTAGGAAAAGAGAGCATGTATAATTAACAGTGAGAAGATCAAGAATGTTGATGTGAACTCTCTTCCTGTGCCCAAATGTGCCATGGTGTCATTCAGAGATGCATGCCAACCTGAAAGGGAAGTAATTGGTGATGGTTATGGAATGCCAATTGTGGTATTGGCACAGTCTGTTCACCAAGAAGGGAGAAGAGAGGTTCACAACCACGGATAATGGATCCTGAGAAGGATTCTACTGATCTCTCAAAGTTCATTAAAGGAGGTGCATGTGTGCTTTCCCCAAAAGAATGAATGGCTTCAGGGAAGCCAGAGTCCCCAAAGTGAAAGAACCTCATGCACAGGAAGAGAATGAGAAGCACAAACAATAGTGAACAGACATTCCATAGCTCAAAAGTGAAGAAATGAAGGTGATCTGACCAAGACGAGAGTAGAAGGAAATGCTCAGATTTATTAAATACTGTGTAGGTGTGAGAAAGGACTTGGAAAACATGACAAGTCATCCCACCCAAGCAGCTTCCTGAAGAAAGGAGGCATGAGAGAAGAGCATCACCTAAAAATGGGCAATAGTCAACTGACCATGCAGAAATTGAAACACATCACCAGTCCTTGAAGGCAGCAAACAAAGGTTGGAGATTTTCCCCTGCCAGTAAGGCAGTAACCAAAGTAAGCCCAGGTGAGAGAACAATCAGTTAAACTTGTTGTCATCCTGGTCACTCTCAAACAGGAAAAAAGATGTCAACTGAAGGGATGGGAGGGGTAGGCTCAATCTGCATGATGAAACCCACAACATCCTCAACAAGCCTCCAGAAGCAATAGTTGAAGTAGGGCTTGTGTCCTATACTCAGATGCTTTCACCGGATAAATCAGAAGTCGTCATTGCTTGAAAATTCATTATGATAAGCAATGCTTTTGAAACAAAGGCAAAAGCAGAACAAAAATGTAAGTTCTGTTGATGATAGCAAATCTCAGTAAATTGAAAACAGACACAAAAAAGTTATTATGTCTGTTATATGTAATACCAAGGAAAAGAATGAAATTATTTTGAGAGCAACTGTTTAACTCTTTCCATATCCTTTTCTGCAAATGTCACAAGGTTTTACTGAGTTACATTGAAAATTTAATTAACAACATTCTTATTATGGTATATGAATAAAATATAGCTCATAAATGAAATTCTAATATTATTTTAAACAGCTTTTATCACATAGTTAGAAAAGCAGAAAAATTATGATTGTTATAAGACTTATCTGCTTTTTTACATGTTATTATTCTGTGTTCTGAAGTGCTTTATTTAATTAAATAAAATTATTTAGTGCATTACCACTGTTAGTATTAAAAAATAGTGTTAAGTTTGATTGAAAATTAACAACAACAAAAAAGAAGAGCCAGGTAAGTACATTTCTTGTTTTTCATGTGTATTCTTTATTTATTATTTTAAAAGTAACTAAAACACAAAAATAAGAAACTTTTTAGGCTAGATAAGGTTACATAAGTTAAAATAATGAAAAAAGAGACAATAATAAAACTGTTCACAAGATATGCTCGCTAGTAGCTCTTTTGCTGCGTAATTCAAAAGAGTAATGTCAGCTACACATTCGCTGAATGATTTATATCTTGGTTGGTGGGATTATTAGATAGACATAGTTCAAAGTGTAATAAAACAAGAAAGCTTAAGTAGAAACAGATGTATAAAGTTATCAGCTTTAAGCTATTTAGGATAAACAAATGTAGTTTCATATTACAATTTGAAGTCATTCTAGAAAGAAAATAAGGGTTATTTAAAGTTATTTTATGTTTGTTAGGAGGCTGGTCAATTTTAGTTAAGGTATAGAAAATAACAAATAAAATATAAAGTTTTACCAAAAAAAACATTTGAAATTTATTTAAGAGGATTTAGAAATTGTGCAAAAAAAAATTCTACAATCTTCAAATGAAGAAAATTATTTTTAATCTCAACATAAAACGCACTTTGCCTTTGGAGCAGTCAACACTTTACTCCATATATATTCATGGAGAAACTTTTAGGGAAAATACTTTATTAAACTAGGTCTGGTTGTTTGTAATTAAGCACAAAGCTACACAATGGGCTATCTGTGCTCTGCCCACCACGGGTATCGAAACCCGGATTCTAGCGTTGTAAGTCCGCAGACATACCGCTGTGCCATTGGGGGGCACTTTATTAAAATTTAAGATTTTTTGTCCACTAAACTCTTAATGCTTACTAAAAGCTTGTGGAATTTTATAAAGATA